CAGACCCCCCCCTGCCTCTGCCTCCCGAGTGCTGGTATTAAAAGCGTGCACAACCAACGCCCGGCTTTTTCACATCTTAATGTTGATTGTTGGTAATGCTATTGTTTAAAACGGCCCCCAAACGTGGTGCTAAAGTAAAAAGAACCTACTATTCTAAATGTCTGATGGCTATAATGCAATATGAAGAAAGTACATGCAGTAAATGAGCTTCATTTACACAAGTCAAAGTTAACCCTGAGTTCAATGCCAGTTAAATGTGTTAACTCCCATTTTAACTAAAACAAAATCACCTGTTAAAAGTGAGGGTTTATTTTGGATCAGAGTTTTGGAGGTTTCAGTTGGTCCTACTGCTCTGGGCTAGACAGCTCATTACAATGGGAACACAGTACCCAACAACTGTTCACCTTGTGGTGAGGTGAAAGAGAAAAGGAGACCAGGGTTCTGCAGTTACCTTTGAGGGCACACCCCAATATACTAAAAGCCCTCCTACAGGCCACTGCACTAGAACCACGATGGGGATAAGGCCAAATAATAGGCTTTTAGTGAACACTTATGACCTGAGCTATAGCATTAAGTAGTGTTTTTAAAATGAAACACACACAAAATAAGGTTATGTACTGATCCACTCTACAGTACTTTGTCATAAAGAGCAGATAAGGAGTAAGCTATTCCTCATTCTAAATAGTAGGTGCAAGCTTTTATCTTTCTAATAGAATTCTTCCACATATTTCCATAGTTATCCGGAAAGTCTTTCTCTGATGATAAAATATTCTTTCTACTTTGAACACCAACAAAAATAATTCGTTTTTACATCTGGAAATTATTTTAACATTATGGCAATGGATTTTCAAACAAATATAAATTCAAATTGTGAGTCAGCTTTGGTGTCTTTGTGTGTAAGAAATCATCTCATAAAGCTTCCAAGTAACAAATGTTTTCTGATTTTTTATCCATCACAATAGAGCACCATTATCCAACTCCCGTTTCTTTTTAAGAGTCTTTTTGATGTGTATTGGTGTTTTGCCTGAATGATGTCTGTGCATCACATGTGTGCCTGGTGCCACAAAGACCATAAACTAGAGTTGTACTGACAGTCAAGTTGCCATGTGAGTGCTAAGAATTCAGTCATGATCCTCTGCAAAATCAGCCATCTCTCCAGCCCCTAAGATTATTTTTACTTACATCCTTGTGCATGTATGTGTGTGAATACCACCTGTGTGTGTGCCCACAGGTACCAGAAGAGGGCATCGAACATAGATCAGCTGGAGTTACAGGAGGTTGTGAGCAGCCCAACATAGGTGCTGAACTTGGGTCCCCAGGGAAAGCAGCAAGTACACTTGGCCACTGAGATATCTCTCCAGCCCCACTTCCCCACAACCCATGGTTTGGTTTTGTGCTTTTGTTGTTTGTTTGTTGAGGCAGAGTCTAATTATGTAGCCCTAGCTAGATTGAAATTCTAGATATAGACCAGGCTATTCTGTACACCACAGATACCCACTTGCTTCTGTCTGCCAAGTGTTGTGAATAGAATGTGCCACCATGCCCAGCCCAAACCATGTTTTTTAGATGACTGAAGTAACATCCTGTTTACCTTTGGCCAATGTTTTTAACTTTTTATTTACTCCTTGTGTTTTTCACATCATGCATCTCGATCCCATTCATTTTCCACCCCTACATGTCCACCCTCTCCTCTTGCAGCCTGCCCCCAGATAAAATTTAAGAAGAAAAAAAAAGGGGGGATCTTGTCATGGAAGCTATATAACATAGTGATTCATTTAGTAAACCCTTTTGTCCATACATTTTTATTCAAAAGTGTTCTTTGCAAAGAGTCACTGGTCTGGTTCTAGCCTTTGGCCAATTTTTTTTTGAAAATTATTTACATTTATTTATTTAATGCGCGTGCGTGTGTGCGTGCGTGCGTGTGCTTGCGTGCGTGCGTGCATGCGTGCGTGCGTGCGTGCGC